AGTTGTTATTCACTGAAATCTTCCCATCCGCTGCAGTTCAAATCTCACTGTTTGTGCATATTCGAGCTTGGTGTGTCATGTGCAGCTATGAGACACGTGACGTTTGGCCGTGCCTCGTCGTGTTAAGTCTGAAGATGAGCATGTGGGTGAGTAAATGACCAAATTTTCATTTTTGGCTGAACTGTTCCTTAAAGAGGTATTATCTATCAGTGAAGTGATGTTTTGGTTACACTGAACGGATCAAGTGAAAGTCAAGTACAGGGACTATACTAGTCAGTAACTATGGCACTGCGGTTTGCAGCCGGCCCCGAAGCCAAGACTCGACTGGCACAGCAATAATAGGAAGCTTTTAGGGGTAAGAGCAGAATAAGTGCTAGAGTTTGATTACAAATCAGATGAGCTCCAACACACCGAGCTCTGTGCAAATCCACTCCCATTTTCTGCTCAGTTTAATAGACATTGGCCTACACCAGTATCCCCTATCGCTAGCTTTGATGGAAACGTTTCATCTTTGATGCTGTGTTTTTGTCTCAACTTTCAATGCTCAAACCGCCAACGATCCTAAAAGGCTCTTTACTTTCACCTGCATTTAGAGGCCATGCTTTTTTTCTGCGTATACATTTGTTGTCTTTGATGTGGAACAAGGGTTGCGGTCCCTTGGGAAAAAGAAGTGCGCTGAATGTGTACTTGTACTCTGAAAAAAATGATTAATTGAATTTACTACATTTTTTAAGGTAAGTGGTTACAATCAGCTTATTTTAGCTACATTTAAATAAACAAATTTAGTTGACTAACTTTCAACATGTTTTTTTTTTTTAAATGTAGCTAAAATAAATTGTTTGCAACCACTTACCTTAAAAAAAATTTAGTATCATTTTTTTCAGTATCTTAAAATATATATATTTTTTAATTGTACTTGCAGAAATAGTAATGAATATTAATGAAATAAAGACCTCTACACTTTCATGAGTTTTTCTTAACATGCTTAAGCGCACTTGTTAAAAAGTCTGCTTTGTAATATATTTTTTTAAATGAACGGTTTTACTTTAATAATAGGGATGTAACTATTAACCGCGAGCCGGTTGAAAAACGATTCAAATATGTGACGATTCAAATCGGTTGAGATGCTAAACAAATCGCGCGATTCATTTAGGGGTAGGAGTTTATATGAACGCATGTCTGAGGGGAACTTACTGTCTTTACAAAAGTTTAGATGGTATTTTTTCTTTTC